GAGGAATGTACTAAGAGAACAGTTTAAAAGAAAACAGTTAATTAACTTTGAAGAAGAGAAACACTTACAAAAGGTATTTATGGGCAGCAAGAAAATCTAAAACAAATACAAATAACATTTTTTGACAAATTTCATTTAAATTTTTCGCGAACGTGATCGTATTTTGCTGGTGTCTGTGTGGGCTTGAATTGAAAAAGAGAAAAGAAAAGATCTTGTCGAGAGAGGGATTGATATGACAAAAATCTGCGGGTATTACTGCGTCTAGTTTAAGAAATCAGAAACACAAAGAATGCAAATTTAACACACTCATAAAATAGTCAGACAACTGCACCGTAAACGATCGATATTCCCAGGCTTACAGTGTGAGATAATCAATTATAGTTCCCAATCTTTTACCAAGATTGCCTCGAGAGTTTGGTTACTGTTTGTATCTAGCTGACAACTTCTCTTGGTTGAAATCCCGGTTCCTGAACCTACGAGCCATTACTGTGCTGGAGATAATTATTTTAACAAAGTTTGAAAACGGAGCAAAGTGACAGTTTGAGCCAAAGGGAAATAAATTACAGAAAAACTTCTAGTTCGCCGTTTGCAATCCTTTTCAATCCTCCTCCTTTTAAACTATATCTCTTTCCTCTCTTTCTCTTTTTTTTCCCTTTTTTTCCTTTGAACGAAATATTGAATTTGAATGGACGGATGTGGGGGAGGAGGTTGTGAATGACTGTCCCCCACGTACTCTGTCTGAAAATTCAACTTCTTGACATTAAACCAACACAGTTTCAGTTCTCCAAGTCACTAATCAATACTTATCGGCTACCTTTGCAACTTTTCAAAAGTCTGAAGACAGCTCTCCGTATTTCCCGCATTCTACAGCAGTAAAATATTGGATTAAGAGATGAATTGATGTACACAATGGTGACTGCGACACCAAGTATCAAATGCAAGTCTGTTGTGATCTTACCTTCTATCGTTATGGCAACAAAGCACCAGAAAAGTGGAGTGTAACATATCAGGTACAAGGCGAACAGGTATGTCATGGTTAGAGCTGTCCTAGCTCTCGATGTCACTTCCAGGTTTCTGACCTGATTGGATGTCACGTTACGGTTGATATCCCGGATCGCTTTCTTGTGATGACGCGCTAAGAGAAGAATTCTCAAATGCAAATAGCAATTTAGTACCAGAAGCAACGGGATGATCACGTGCGCAAGTAAACCCAAACCTGATTCTACGAATCGCGACAGTGCTGAAGGTGAAGTGAAGATCCAACAGGAAAGCACAACAAATAACACACGATTCTTTGTAACAATGGCTTCGTACCTCAGTGGATACATTAAGCAAGTGTATCGTTCCACACTTAGACAAAACAAATTTAGAAATGTCGCACCAGCCCCAATAGCACCAAATGTCTCAGACATGAACCACAGGAAGCAAGCTCTGGAAAGATTCACGTTTCCAAACCCCACCTTGACCATAAAACTGGTTTGCGAAAACAGCCCCACAAAGAGATCTGAGGTGATTAACGAACAAAGCAGACCATTCTTCGGTGAATGTAGTGCTGGAGTTCGTATAATAGCGCACAGAACAAAAATATTGAATGTGATTGCTGTCGTCGACGTTACTGCATTTGCAGTGATGAGGAGAATGGCAATTTCTCGCTTGTACCAGGAAACATCGGCTTCCAGATCTAGAAATGTACAATGCTGCACAAGATCTGCAGTTTGATTTCCTGAGGGCGGTAACCCAGCTCTACTTTGGTTAATTGATAGCATAAGAATTTATACATAAGCGTAACTTGAATTATAGGAGCTTATTCTCTCTCGTTGTAGTACAAGAACAGCATGGAAACTTTGTAAATTCTTCGCGGAAAAGAAACTAATGCACTGATTTGAAAGAAACGATTATGTTAAATATAGATTGTGCAATGTTTACAGTCGAAGTGTCATATTTCAAATATATTTTCGTAAAAGTAAATGAAAGTCCGCTATGTTTGTTTTTCACCAAACATCTACTTCCTTTTTCAATCAATAGTGAAGTATTTTAATAACTTTATACCGCATAGCTAAAAGATTATTTACACTCAGAAAAATCGAACAGATGGAGTTTCACACGATTCTCACAAAATACGAGGACGATTTTTTGTAAATTTCGTCTGTTGCTTACGATATTAAATTAAAGTTGACCTTCGAGAATTTTCCACCCATAGCTTTGGATCTTAAGAAATAGGAAAAAAAATCAGTGGCGAATTGTGATTTGAAGAGGATGTGGCTTCCATTTCTTCTTCTTCTTCTTCTTCTTCTTCGTCTTCTCTTCTTCTTTTTCCTCTTTTCCTTTTCCTTTTTCATCCTCTTCTTCTTCTTCTTCTTCTTCTTCTTCTTCTCCTTCTTCTTCTTCTTCTTCTTCTTCTTCTTCTTCTTTTTCTTCTTCTTCTCCTTCTTTGGCTTCCTCTTCTTCTTCCTCTTCCTCTTCTTCTTTTTCTTCTTCTTCATCTTCTACTTCTTCTACTTTTTCCTCTGCTTCTGCTTCTGCTTCTTCTTCTTCTTCTGTTTCTGCTTCTTACTTTTATTCTTCTTCTGATTCCTCCTCTTATTCTTCCTCTGCTTCTACTTCTTCTTCTTCTCCTTCTTCTTCCTCTTCCTCTGCTTCTGCTTCTGCTTCTTCTTATTATTATTCATCTTCCTATTTTTCTTCTTCCTCTTCCTCTGCTCCTTTTTCTTTTTCTTCTTTTTCTCCTTCTCCCACTTCTTCTTCTTCTTATTTTTGTTCTTGTTCTTCTTTTTCTTTTTCTTCTTTTTCTTCTTTTTCTCTTTATTCTTCTTCTTCTTACTCTTTTTCTTCTTCTTCTTCTCTTTTTTCCTATTTCTTCTTCTTCTTCTTTTTCCTATTTCTTCTTATTATCATTCTTTTCCCTCTTTTTCTCTTTCTCTTTCTTTTACAATTTTTATTTTTAATTCTTGGTGGTCATACATCTAATTACTACAATTACATTTTTCATTATCCCTTCGAGTCCACATGTGACTTTACACAGGGCTGATGCGCATGCCATGTTAGTGAACGGATGAGATGGAGGGGTTAGTAATGCAAGTGCGCTGTCAATCAAAGATTGAATGAAGTGAAACTCAAAACGATCAGGACTCACCCCTAATCTTTGTGTATGCATGTTTTCCTTTTATCAAAAGCAATTTTTTTGCCTCACTTTGGGAACCCGTGCACCATTCAGAAAAATGGCCCACAACATACCTTTATAATTATGCAGATCTTTAAAAACAATGAATGTTAACACAAGGAAAATTTGCATTTGAATCGTTAGAAAGGATGAGTGCAGATTTACTGAACAAAAGCCTTGCACACTAACACAATAAATTTTTAAATTACAAAACTGTAAAGGAAAAAAGAGGTGACAATAGATACAAAGTTCTTCCTTAAATTTTGACGTGCAATAAATACGATATTTCATCATCTTATTCAGTGCGTGCTTAACCAAAGGTGAACCTATTGTTTCCGTTTAAAGTACTTTTGCGCGTCAATTTATCGCTTTCGCATTCGACTATTGTCATACTAACGTCCCAAGAGCTAAAAGCTAATTTTCGTCATTGAAAGCATTACTTGATGTCCAAAATTTGGCGTCAGTTTGCTCTAATAGAACAGGTTTTCGTTCGCACGTAAGCTGACGAAAAAAAATGAATATTCATCAACGTTTTATTTGGTTCTTGTAAATTCAGAAAGATTAATCTAGCAATACGACAGCTTTTTGTTTCTTTTGAAAAACCACCTGCAGAGAATACTCAGAAGTCGAGCTTCGCGGCGAAAACTAAATCGACATTTGTGAGGAACGAAGTATGAAGCGTTGTTTTGAGCCGAGTCAAGCTCAACATTTCTTATTCTCTGAAATTTGTTTGGTATTTCCTCAGAATTTCTTTGGACTCATCCATCGATGAAAATACGTCGAGTTTACGAACAACTTTTGAAGCAAGAAAAGCGAACAGTCCTCCGATTGAAGTGTCTTTCTGGAGCAACAGCCTTTATTGTCTTCGCTGTGTTTCTCACAACGTTTCTTAGCTCAGAAGTCGTTCGGAAAATTGCTAAAGGTTTTAGTTTTGAGGAAGGTGGCTGCGTTGTACAAGAATCATATTTTACTGGTAGCAATGTTACCTGCGCATGTGGAATGCACACTTGTTTTAGCCTCTATCCTTGTTTACGGATCTTGGTAAAAATGACTGCGAAACGGACTGAAGATGCTGAAACATCTACGCCAGTCCTTCTGCATAACACCATTTACGATATGGGATCTGAAGTAAGTCAATGGATGCCTGTTCTTCTGAGTTAAGATAATTTTGCGTCTACGCACGGTTAATTATTGTTCACAGAGTTGAATAATACGTGGTAGAAAACGGATCACAGTGCTTTAAAGAGCATGTAGAATGAAACTCCCAGGCTTAAAGGAATTCCTAAACTTGAAAACAATTTACGTATGAAAGGATTTTCAAAATTTTTTCGTGTCAGCTTCATATGCCAACGCCAAGACAATTTAAACAAATAATCGAACGGAAGACAGCCTAAAGAAGTACATCGATCCCAAGTTTTAAAGACAAAAACATATCTACAAGACTCTAAAACCGTTCAGTCCAAAAAAATTTCAACTTGATATCTAAATTATGAATTGAAAAAGTGCAACTAAAGTTCAAACACCAATTTTCTAGACCTTCTTTCAACAAGGAACTGCAAATTGGCTAGACTATCCCGTTTGTTTACAATATAACCTCAGACGATTTATGCAAAAGTATAATCACTCGTGGTGTTTCATTATGTTAATTAGAAAACAAAATACTATCTGTTCGCGATAGCTTGCTTTAGTTTTTAAGAGCCGCTTCCTTCGTAATAATTTATGAATCATTGATGTTGATGTTTTCTTCAATTTCAGTGTACCTACGGGCCTCCTTGTGAGCCAAATATCACCAACAACTTCGCTTCTGTGCTCAAATACAAAAACTCCAAGGGACAGCGGGATCACCTGTTGCAGTGTTACTTTAACCCGAATGATCCCACAGAGGTGATATTAGACAAAAGTGCACATGAAATGATTGCGTTTCACGCCATGTTTTGGCCATGTTGCGCATTTATAATCGGTCTGTGTATTCTGCTGAAGACATATTACATGAGGAAAGCTCACAAAAAGCAGGATGTTGTAAAGCCACAAGACATTGAACTTGGAGAGACACATCTCACCTCTAATAACAACGTTTATAATTATCCTTTCGTCAAAAGTCTTGCAGACTAACAGAAGAGGTGTATCATATTATGTCATGCGAAAAATAAATTGTAAAGCAGAAATTTAATAATCTCGGAGCATTGAGTATATTTCATTTTGTCTGTTTTAGTTCCGGTTGTTCGTCTAAACCTAAGAGACCAATGAAGAGATTTTTATGAAACCTTAGAGTTCCCTCTCGGCCCTGAACTCTTCCTTCTTTTGTTAGCGCAAGAGTAAGATCGCGGAAATAGTAGGATATCAAGGGCACCGCGGTTCAAGCATCTCGTTGCAGCCTAAGTGTCCCTTAAATGCATCCATTGTTCGAGGTTCAAAACACTGACATCCCAATCGAAGTCCCATTCGCTGTTAGCGATAAGAAAGGAACCAAAATATTGACCGTAAACTTCAATATTCTCATTGTATATTGTTTCTTTGATTCGTATATATAACTTTGATCCATTTATTACTCCAGTTTTTTTCATATGCTTTTTAAATAATT